TTATGTCATATATTTACTTGGCAATAAATTTGACGCAAAATGTGATAGTATCGAAATAAAGAGAGAGAAAAACTTTTATCCTAGAGTGTAGTTATATAGAACATAAGTGTCACCAGTGAGAGATCGTATTCTTTAGAAAAAATAGTCCTGTTATAAATCGCACAAAAATTTTAAGATATGTTGTCTATATTGTCTCAAGAACACTCTTCTAAGCAATTATTGTTCTCTCTTTTTTGCGTTAAAATATTATTCACTTCTCTTTCATTGATGACCGTGGAATAAATAAAATAAACTCGTTTACGAATAGTGTATTGGACCAAAAAGTGTTGAAATTAGGATTTTTCGTTGAGATCACCAAAAAATTTAAACTTTTAAGGGACATAATAGAAGACTCGGGGTCTTCTAATGTGTCGAGGGCTTTATGCGGGTATGGTGAGACTCTGTGAAGAGACTAAACACTTCCGCACTCACACACAATCAGTTCTTTTTGCTTTTTATGTAGGCATGACATTTCATTTTTTCAATAAATACGTATTTTTGTCTCTATGATTGCTAGTCCTAAGTCTAAATAATCTACCATTAAAAATGAAAAAAATCCCGATCAAAAGAAGGTGTAGGTATGGGAGAGTGAATATCGTGATCAGAATCATCTCTATATCTATACACACCCACTTACATCTACACTTTACTTTGAAATGTAATTATGATCAATATTTCGTTATGTACAGGTTGTTCTCGTCTTGAGACAAGTGGTTAAGGAACTTTATTTCGATCTATAGAGATCTATTTCAAAATTAACATTCAAAACGATTTTTATATTTGATATACTTAGATACTGATGGGTGTAGGTGTAGGTATTCATTGAATTCAATATAGCGCAGTTGCACCCACATCAACACTCACACCAACACCCACAGCCCACACCCACATCCTTGGATTCTGAAGTTGTAGATCTTCGTGTATCAGAATAGTGATATTCGTCTCTACATTCACTTCAAAAACTGAATCACTCTTCAAACTACTTTCTGTTGACATTGAAAAGATAAAATCTTTTTATAAAGACAAGTTTGTTTTCAAAAAAGAATAAGTAACTCTGTGCTCACCTATATGACGAATATAAGAATTAAAAAAATATTTGGTAGGTATTTGTCCTCGGAGAAGTTGATAGATATTGCATATTCAGGTTTTTATACACTTTTGGATTGTTTTTTACTTTTTGGTGCTAATTTTTGTCATAAAAGAACCGTTTAAAAGATTCATGACATAAATATAGTTCTAATAGACGTCGATTAGTTCTATCTAACTACACTAGACGAAAGATAAAAGACGTTGCTTAAATTTTGATTTTTGCGTATCTTACTCTGAACTAAATTCTGAAAATTAAGTGTTAATACCTAATATTAAGTGCTAGGTAAAAAGACTTATTGAATTTTAAGTTAAACTAAATAGTCCATCCCTACTTATTGTCATAATCGACTCTGATGGATCGTAATCATTGTTCCTTGACTTTTCTCCTGAAAAAATCGTCATCGACTGATAGAAATTAATTAATGCTGAAAAAAAATTTTAATTGATTAATAAAAATCATAGAGAATCAATTCTCATGAAGAAAGTTATAATAACTGGTTAAAACCTGATGATTCTGAATCATTTGTGCTGAAAATTTCATTATAATCTCCCGGTTAATAAAAAGAAAAGTCACGATTATTTGGTTTTCATCAATGAAATAGGACTCACATTAATTAAAGTCACGTATCTGTGGACTCTTCTATTTATTTTTGTTTGTATGGGTAACAGAACTGGGATTGAATTGATAGTGAATAAACTGTTATCATAGTTAAATAAATGCTTGCGTCAATAATTGACGTAAGCATTTATTTGACCACGATAACACATTGCACACTATCGATTCAATACCAGTTCTGTTGCTAACAACATCAACGCCAAAACATGACAGATATCACGTTTCCATACAATATTGTCATTCTCTCGTTTTTCATTCTGCTGCCAAAATAAACCGTTGATATTAGAAAAGATCTTTCAGAGTACTGTGGTATGCATATAAGATGGTAATAGTTAATCATCTCAGTAGTATATTAACTGTTTGCTTCAATATTTATTCGACAGCTATTCATTCCATTCTTAGTTTGAATAATTGAATCTTCTGCTAAACGCTGTTGACGAACAAAAAATAAATCCACTGCTCTATCGTCGTCTCATTCACTATTACGTTAAAAATGAAAGATATTTGGGGTATCATGATTTTGTTTTTGTTCATGGCTATTCCACATTCTATCGAAAGTCGTACTGTTCCATTTAATGATAGCTGGCTACCCAGAATTGATACTCTAATGTCGATTAATTCTTCATCTATTCAACTCGTTTGGCGCCCATCATTTTCACTTGAAGACGTTGATATTGATCAACTTTCCGGTAATTTTACTGTCAGTCTCTATGTCGGTACTCGAAACAGCGTCTCCAATAAAGCTATAGTTTACGATGTGAGTAAACTGAATACATCAGATTCGATCACCATCACTGGACTCGTACCCGATACAGTCTATCATACATGTTTTGATAGTGAATGGTACGAACAAAAATCCACCATTGAAGATAATACACATCGTGCTATTCCACCACCCAAATGTCGACTGTTGCGAACATATACTACTGGTGAGTCAAAACCAAAAGTATCAAAAATATGTAAAATAGTACAATCGTTTCATTTATAGATAAAATCAAACTAAATCTTGAATATATTCAGCGATATATGAGTTACTTTAGTTGTAAATGAGGGAAATTTCGTATTTCAGATGAAAAATTCTAAAACTACTAATAGTCTATACAAGTTTTGGTTAATTTGAAAAACTATTAATTTAAAAAGTTGTAAATGATTTCATATTTTTCATTGATTTAATAGATGGAACAACCCTAAATTCTGTGCCATCCATTGGTAGTTATTCATGGGAGCAAACAATGACAAACACCGGAGCAAAAGCAATTACTATCAGTGCTAGTGTGTCGTCAGAGCTGCCTTACAAAAAACGGATTATAACTGTTACACTTAGTTCGAAAATGCAGACGAAAGAAATTGAAACACCACTCGAAAGTATTCAATTCTTGTTCGATCAACTTGATTCGAATTCGACATCATATTCAATCTTGGTGATATTCAGCTTAATCGATGACACTAATACACGAACAGTATCAAATGCAACATCGGGACTAATATACATAGGTGGAAATAATGGTCAGGGTAAACTTATCTCTAATTCTTTTCTATTATTATTGCTTATATTATTTATCCTCTACAATACTATTTTATAATGTATAATTTTTTGAAACTTTTTTTTTTAATTTTCTGCATTTTTTGATTTCAATATTATTTTTTGAATCTTTATATGGTTTGATAGAACATTGATTACTCTGTGGAATTGTATCCATTTTGCTTCATATTTACGCATCTAAGAAAAAAAATTAATAAATTTCAAAAATCGGTATAAGAAAACGTTTATAAGTTCATGTACCAATTCTAAATATTATAAGAGAAACATTTATGTTTATGCATTTGAGTTTTTCAGCAGAGAAATGAATGAGACAGAATTAAAGAAATCTAATTACTAGTTCGTGGAAAATTATCACACACAAAACATCCAACGTTTTTCGAAAAATAACCACTTATTCGTCTATTACCGATAAACATGTAATATATGAAATCAATATTTCTAAAGTCATGATAAAAAAATCAGACCAATAACGACAGATCATAGATAAATGTAAACTAAATAAATCAATAAACTGTCCGAGACCGAGAGAGTAACTGAAAGTAAATCCTTTTGATCTTTGATACTAATCAACAACACTTTCTATCTCAATGAAAGAAGATAGAGAAAACATAGGTTATTAATTTAGTTTTTTTCTTATTTACAACAAAATGAAACTATTAATTGTGAAGACCTAGATATATAGTATTTTTCGATGATAAAAATAATGCATTATTTCATTTAGTCACAATACGATATTCATTTTCAGCAGAACCATGCTATACGGATATCCATCTATAATACTATTTAAATTAACTTCGATATTGACTCCTCATATAGGTAAATTGTTACACACACTTATTATGCAAAGATTATGTATTATGCATGTTTAGGGTACTCGATGTATTGTTCTATATACAAATCAGACAAAGAAATAATCGTTTCTCTTCCTTTCTTTGTTCATATTAATCCTGAAGAACGACGAGACATATCTTACGCATCGGTTGATAATTGAGGTACAGTAGTTTGACTTTATATATTTCACCAAGAATTCATTCTTCATTCAATTTTCTGCTTGAAAAAATTGGAGGCACTATCTATCATATCTCCCAATTTCAATATTCCAGCTGACATTGGTCGACTGAATCCAATTCTAAGATGATTAACTGTCGTCGATCTTAATAAGTCACAAAAAATTCTACCAATTGAATTATTCATATTGAACAATTTGGAGAAACTTAATCTTATTAATTGCGATACTGAAATTCTTCCAGATGTAATTGGCAACTTAAGAGAGGGTCCGCGAGAGGACCACCCTAGGTCGCCGGGGAAAAAAATTTTTTTTTCGATTTTATTTTCTTAAATGATAGATCTAGGCAACCTATAGTTAAATCCAAAATATTAGGTCATTTGATTTTACCTATGAAAAATGCGAGCTAAAACAAGTGTAAGGGGGTCAATTTTGACCCTAAAAATCCGCTAAAAATGGGTGTGCTCAGTATTTTGACATTTTCTCATGAATAGTTTGACAGTTTGAGATCGGCCACATCTCATTAGATAGGGAACAGTATAGGCTACAAATTTATCCAATTTTGATGATTCATATCTGGAATAAAAGAAACGCTATAGATAAAAAATCTTCGAAATCTCAAGAAATCCTACATTCTGGGATAGCAGTATTTTTGGCTTTTCTTGAGTGGTGCAAGCGGTCCCAAACTTCTTTTTTTACCAGACATAGATCTCTTCAAGGTACATCTTTTGACATTAAATTGTCAGGACAAAAAAACTCGGGGGCCAAGTTAGCATGGACCACACTGTGGTCGGTCCTACCTAGTCAGCATTGATCCTACCCCACAAAAACATACAATTTCTACAGAAATCACAAAAATGGACTTCAGATTCGTGTTCAGCTTGAAAAACTGACTTAGATAGGATATTTTAAATTGATTCCTTACTTGCACCAAGCGTGTTCAAGATCATGGGCCCACCTCATGGATATATGCTAGATATATACCAGGGTGTTTTGATAATAATT